AGCTCTGTGGCCCCGGGGGACATGCCTCTCAGAGGGCCTCTTTGATGCTGCTCTAAGCTTCAGAAGTTGGAGGCTGCCACATCCCAGGAAAAGTCCTAGGATCAGAGACAACCATCAGAAGTACTGAAGGTTTCTTGGAGGCTGGGACCAATGAACAAATGGAAGCTGGCACTAAGGGAAAGGACAGCCTCATGCCCTTGATGCCAGAAGTCCCCAAAAGCATGTGGGAAGAGAGGAAGCAGTCAGAGTAGATCTCAGACAATCTCAGGTGGGCACGGCTCTTAGTTTTATAGCTGACAGCTCCAAAGCGCCCCCTCTACCCTGGACCTGGAGCACACCTCTTCTTGGTGGTCAGCAGGATCGTGAGTGTACACAGTGACAGCTTGCTAAACAAAGATCCTGGAAATAAGCCAGATGGCTCGGCTGCGTAGGAGGAATTCCAGGTTCCTTGGAGGTGGTGGCCATGATCAAGGAGGATGGGGAAGTGTGGTTCATAGTGGGCCAGGACCTGACCATGGGATATACTACATACCTGACATTTCAGGTGCTGTTGCAGGTGTGACCTTGGTCTTGACCTCACGGGGCAGAAAGTTCTATTTTGGGAGTTGGCCCAGAGGTTGGAAGACAAGCTGATTTCTATGCAAGTGTGACTGAAGACCCATTTCCATGTCTCTGAGATCATTTCTTTGGGGAACAAAATTTCTGCAACTGAAGCGAACTGCTAGGTGCCGGGTCATCATTAATAGGACAGCGGTACCATGGTTCCTTTTCCCTTGTTCTCTCCCTCCTCTCATCAGCCTGACTTCCGGGCTTTCAAAGTCCTGCTGCTTTGGCATTAGTGGGAAATGAGATTGTCTTGTCTGTCGCTCAGGAAACCAAGACCCCTGTAAGGAGCACCGTCTGTTTGCAGCAGACTTTGATCTTGGGGCCTTGTTTAAGAATGGCAGAACCGTTTCTGGCCACTGGGTTTTGTGGTTGAACACAGACAGTGGGCCATAGAGACCACCCAGCCAAGGAGGTCCTGGGAGTGTCAGGGGCTTCAGCCTTCTGGTGAAACCACTGTCCCAACCTACCAGGATGAGTCCCGTACCCTACAGATCTGGCTTTCCTGAGCTGTTCAGCATCCTGCCTGGGAGTGAGGGGGAAACAGGCTGAGTGTAGATGTGCGTTGTGTTAATGGAGCAGGGTGAGGAGTGGGGAGTAGGGA